AGAGCCGCACGGGCGCTCCAGCCCCCGCAGCCTTCCCGCCTCCACCCCTCCACGCCCCCTTGAGCTCTCTGTATTTTTGAAATAAGCACTTAGTCTGTTCCTTCCCCAATTCCGCCAACCCCTGCCATGTTGTCTGGTTTCCAGATTTTTCCCCTTCCCGATAAGACCTTCAAAGATAGGACTCCATCCAGAAGTGCCAATGTATGCCCACCCTTTGGGTCTGGGCACTAAGGCATAGCTTTCCGCTTACTAGTATTGACTCATAATATCTCTAGGCCGAGGGCGACACTTGGTGTGGTCAAGGCAGTGGCTGAGGGAAGCACTGGGGGCTGGAGGAGCCAGAAGGAGGCTTCTAACTGGGAGTCAAGGAAGGCTTCCTGAAGGAGGTGACACCTGAGCTAAGCCTCAACAGAGAAGGGTGGGGCCAGGAAGTTTTAAGTGTGGAGAAGGTCAGACTCCATCTGAATCCCCAAGCCCCAGGGGCCTTCCTGAGCCCCAGAATCTTTACCTTAGGCTCTGCAGTTCCCTAGGGAGGGGGCATGGACTCCTGGGTCCAAATTATAGGGGAGACTTTGAGGATAGAAAGGATGGACCCTCAGAGCCCCTTCCAGCTTAAGGAGGAGCTAGCAGCCAAAGAGAGTATTGTGTAAGCAAGAGACAGGTGAAGTGTTATCTGTCCTTGCCTCAGGCAGACCCCCAGATCCTTTCCTCTCTGAGGCTCCTCTCCCTGGTCTTTCCAGGCCTCCTACTCTTTCCCTTCCACATAGTCTCCCTGAACAATGCTATCCATCCTCTGCCTTGTAAGCACCTCCTGTTTTGAGGATTGGCCCCAAATTGGCCATCTCCAGTCCCCATTCATTCCTCCACCAAGTGTTTATTGGTACTTATTGTGCCAGGCTCTGTACCAGGTGCTGGGGAGACCTGAGGGAACCGAGCAGATGTGCACCTTGCCTTCACGGAGCTGAAATCTAATAGGGGGGAAAGGTGACACATGACAGTTGTGATGAAGTAAGGAGGCTTCCCTGACAAGCCTAGGTAAAATTGGTTCATCCCCCCTGTTTCTACCCACAGCACCCCCCTAGCCCTGCATAGCAGCATCACTATTGTGAATACATGTTTACTTCTTGGTTGTTTGTGTCTGTTTCTGAAACTAGAATGCAAGCTCCTGAGAGCCTGTCAGGTAACATATTTATTGGTCAGGTGACATTGTTTCTCCAGTGTCCAGAATGGTATCTGGCATGTGGTAAGTGCTCAATAAATGTTTGTTAATGAAGGAAGGAGGAAGAAAGGAAAGGTGGGAAAGTGAGGAGGAAAAAAATAGAGTACTTAGAGAGGGGAGGGGAGTACTTTAGCCAGAATGAAAAGACCTCTGTGAAAAGATAATACCTAAGCTGAGGCCTGGTTGAGAAAGAGCCAGCCAGGTGAAGAGCCTGAGGAGAGCATTCCAGGTAGAGGAAGTAGCGAATGGAAAGGCCAGGGGTAGGAAGAGCTTGGCCTCTTGGAAGAAAGGAAAGGAGGCCAGTGTGGCTGGATGGAGGGTAGCAGGCGACGAGATCCCAGAGGAAACGCGCCATGTCATGAAGGGCTTTGAAGGCCACAGTGAGGACTGGCCGCCATGCGTCCTCTGGTACTGGCCCTGCATTTCTCTCAGGCACTTCAAATTCATCACCCCTTGAAGAGACACTGTGGGTGCCCTGCCCATATCTGCTTGGCCCACCTGGGAAGTCATCTGCAGACAGATGCCCGATGCCCGGTCTCCCGGCTGCTTCCTGAGCTTCTGTGGGAGGGTGCTCTCTGGGGGAGTGTGCTCTTGTACCCACAGGGCTGGAAGTGGGGCGGTTCTGTAATCTCCAACTAGTTAGATACAAGAATTGGAGAAGAAACACCCCAGCTTCCTGGCCACTTGAAGGTCAGTCCTGAGGTCTGCTCTCCACAGAGTCTTAGGGGGTCTCCACTGGGGCTGGATTCCAGGTGTGCACAGCGGTGCCTGGCAGTGGACATGCCCTTCACCAGCCTGTCTCCTTTCCTGTCTTGCCTCCTCACTCCACAGCCCTCACAGAGGTCACCTCCCCAGTAAGGTTCATGCTCTCTAATCCTCACTGGGGGGTATGCTTTCTAAGGCATTCCCTAAACTCACTACATTCCTCTGAAATAGTGTTCTCTCTACTGCATCTCAGGCATGAACCCAACTGCCATAGTCAGACATCCAAGTCTGGTCAATTCTAGAAGAAAGGCAGAGGCACAGCTACTCATCACCCCCTTCTTTCTTGTATCCAGCCCTGTGCTGAGCAATAGAACTCCAGGAATGAACCAGATCATTTCCAGCTCTTGGGGAGGCTCTAGCCTGTTGGGGAGACAGAGCTGGACCCAGATAAGGGCCCGCAACGTGCGGGAACTGTATCAGAAAAGTCAGAGAAGTCTTTCCTAAAGAAGTAACGTGGGTTGGATACTGAAGACTAAGTAGAAGTTGGCCATTGGAGAGGCAGGGAGGCACTCTGAGCAGAAGGCACAACTTATACAAGTTTGGAGGTATGAAAATATACAAGTTGGGCAGGGCAAAGGAGTAGGAAGGAAACTCTAGATTTGGTTTGGGCAACAGGGAGAGGGTGGGCAGGAGTTGGCGCATGGCAGGTCTTGAACATCAGGCTGAGACACTTCCACTTCCTCCTGAGTGTGATGGAGAGCTATGAAGTGTTTCAGAGCAGGGGAGTGACAATGTCAGATTATGGCTTGAAAATGATCCCTCTGGATTAGTCAGAACCAGGGGGCTGGCCCAACCAGGCTCCTTAGGTCAAGGCTGAAAAGTAGGCATTTTTAGGGACTGAAGTGATTTTGAGCCTGAGGCACTGGGAAGGGGGTAGGGGCTAAGGCCCAGGAAAGTGTTCCTGAACTTGAAAGGGCCCACCTCCCCAGGACCAGCCTTCAGTCTTGATATGACCTGATTCAGCTAAACAAAGCCAGGGAGAGGGGACAAGGCCGATTTGTCAGCTCACTGCACCTGAGGTAACCATTAATCTCCCCCCTGGGAGAATCCAGGAGCTGGTCCCTTGAGGGGCAGATCCTGGACAGAATGGAGGAACACACAGAGGCAAGCTTGGCACCAGAGCTGGGGGAGCAGAGGGTCTTAATCGACAACCCTGCTGACATCCTGGTCATTGCTGCTTATTTCCTGCTTGTCATTGGTGTCGGCTTGTGGGTGAGAAGTTGAGGGGGTGCTCCTGGAGTAAGGTTTCTGGGGCATGGGGGGAAAGTCTCAGGGATACTGCATGTGACAGTAGGGGCAGGATGCCTAGATCTTTGAGGGAGAAACCAGGAGCTGTGGGGAGAGAGCAAGTAAGTCTTCTCCCCACCCCTCCAAGTAAGTCTTTTGATAGCCTTAGGGGGGCCTGGTCAATACTCATTCTTTGTCTTCCACCTTTGGATTGGGCTAGTGTTTTCCTCAGGAACAGCGTTCTAAATGCGGCCTCTATCCCCTGTCTATGTTATGGCTGATCAGAAGCCCACAGGCCTAATCCAAGGACCCCAGGAAAGTCAGGCCTAATCTAGCTACACTCAGGCTTCAGTAGGTGGGCACCAGATCAGGGCATGGGTGGCTCTGGGGGCCTGGGAAGAGGTTGTGGGGGTGGGGTATGAACCATCGGGGAGCAGAGCACGGGTTAATCTTCAGCCTGAAACAAGGCTGAGGAATGTGTTGAGGAAGCTAATGAGGTCCAAAGATGTGACCTGAACCCAGGTCTCCCCCAACTCCTGTCCCCCAGTCCATGTGCAGAACCAACAGAGGCACTGTGGGCGGCTACTTCCTCGCCGGACGAAGCATGGTGTGGTGGCCGGTGAGAGAGCCTGGGCTGTGGAGTGGGAGGGGGCCTAGAGAAGCATCTTGGCTCACCTATACCTCTGGCCACCCAGGTCGGGGCCTCTCTCTTTGCCAGCAACATCGGCAGTGGCCACTTTGTGGGCCTGGCAGGAACTGGTGCTGCAAGCGGCTTGGCTGTGGCTGGATTTGAGTGGAATGTGAGGCCCCCTTTTGCCAATAACCCCCACCCCCCCAGTGGGAACCCCTGGAAGGGTCACACCTATGGAGGCTCTAGGCAGAAGGGGCGTGAGACTGGAGATGGAATTTCCTGATTGTGGGGTGTGGTTGGGCTTCAAGCAAGGGTCACATGTCCAGCATGGAGGCAGAGGGATGTAGGAAATGACCACTTTCAGAGTAGGGGCCGGTCCTGCTTCTGCCTTGCTGTGTGAGCCTGGACCAGCCACTACCTCCTGTGGCCTTGACCTACTACTCTCCAAAGTGGGGTGAACAGACTCAAAGATAGTGAAGTAGTTGTCCTGATGCTCTCTGAAGTTGTGGCCTGTGAGGATCTCTGGGCCCACTGCAGAAGTGGGGGGGAGACAAGGCTCTGGGACTGAGACTCACCTTGGAAAGCTGGAGAGATTGCGGCCTTGAGCTCAGGGCTTCCTGGAGGAGGAGGCCTCTGAGCTGAGCCTTGATGGTTTCCGTGGGTGGAGGAGAGCAGAGGGAGCCCTTCCTGGCAGATGCTTGGGGGGTAGGGGCCATCTTGGGAGGGACTGGCCAGGGTGGCCTGGGAGGGCAAGGAAGGCTCTAGTTAAGGGCCCAAAAAGGTGTCAAGACCATGTCCCTTAATGCCCAGACGGCGCCCAGGGTCGTCCTCTCATTTGAGTCCTCTGGCCGTTGGAGTAGCCCGGGGGAAGGCCGCTGG